AATAAATTATATTTAATAGGGAAAATAATTTGGAGAAACACTTATACAATTTTAAAAATTTAAGAAAAAATAAAACAATAAATATCAATGTAAATAAAATCTGAAAAGTGCTAAAAAAAGCAAGAAAATGAACTGATTGAAACAGATCTGGAAGGAGAATAAAAAAGTGAAGCAAAAGACAAAAAAAAGGGGTTAATCAACAACTTAAAGATGCAAAAAATCTGCCATAGAGTCAGGGGCGGATCTAGCATTTACGTTCAGGTGGGACCAAAATTTAATTAAATAACGTATATTATAAAAAAATGTCAAAATGTAGTATAGTATAATAATATCTTAGAAGTCAAAATGTAAATTATAGAAATGTCAAAGAATAAATTGAATATTACAGAACCGACAATACAATTATCTTAAAAGTCATAGATATCGAACCAAAGTTTTATTAGAAATTAGTTCAAATAGGACTAAAATTATGGCAAAAACCTATATAGGACTTGCTATGTTTTTATTCCAAAATAGGACCATATGAGTCCTATTGGAAACATACCTATTTTTACATTCCATTCTTACCCTTCCATTAAATATGAATTAAAAATAGTCAAAATCCATAATTAAATATTTAATTCATAATAAATTCTAAAAAAAAAACAAAAAATCGTAGAAATACAATTAAAAAATTTATAAAATTTTTATAAAATAAAAAATTCAAATTTTTTTTTTAAATAATTTTATTTTTAAAAAAATTAATAAAAAATAGTAAAACTCCGTAAAAAAAATTTAAAAAATTATGGATGCCTTTCCCACCGCCTGTACTACCTCCCAGCACCACCACCTCCGGTCGATGAAAAAAATGCCATTTTCCCAGAAAAATGCCATTTTTTTCTGAAAATGCCAAAAAAGTGACATATTTCTCTTTTCGAATGCCAACATTTTCATTTTTTTCTGCCATAAATATGGCATTCGTAATGAACTTGGCATTTTTTCCCCTGGTGACAGGAGGTGGTGGTGCTGAGGCGGCGGCGATTTTTTTTTTTGAGTTTTTTTTTTAATTTTTTTTTAATTTTTTTAATTTTTTGAAAAAAAAAATAATTAAATTTTTAATATCGAAATGTTTTTCTTAATTTTTTAGTATTTTTTACGATTTTTTTTATTTTTTATTATTTTATTAGGAATTAAAACATTTTAATAGCTATAAGGGTATAATTGTCCAAGGTACACATAATTAGTCCTATGCAAACATAGTTCATTTTTTGGTCCTATTTGTGAAAAGTGAATGACTTTTAGTCCTATTTTGATAATTAACTCAAGTTTTATCGGTTACCCAAATGTTTAGTGCCAATTTTTAGGTTAGTTTCTCGGAAACAAGATAAACCGATTTTTTTACTCTAAAATCTATACTCTATGTAAAGAAAACTTATTTTCACCTACGAAATCCAATGTATTCAACTAATTAATTTTTCGGTCAATGTTGAATAGCCCAATGAATTAAACTAATTAATTTTTAGGACAATATTCAAAAAGCTCAATCAATTGAACTAATTGGTTTTTCAGACTAATAAAGCCCAATTAGTTGGACTACTTAACTTTTGCATCCTAGTATTCAAAAGTTAAAATTCAGACTTGATTTGTGTAAGATAGCATGTTCCTGGACTTGGATGGAAAATAAAAAAAAATGATGCTCCAGCTAGGAATCAAACACATAACCTCTACACTGTCAATCAGACCTCTACCATCACACCAACATAACTTTTGTTTACAATAGGACGTTTGTTCTAATTATACCATTTCTTCCCAGTACATATATATATATATATATATATATATATATATATATATATATATATATATATATATATATATTAGTGATTTTTTTTGAGGTGGGGCCTAGGCCCTCCCTGGCCCTATGCCAGATCCGCCCCTGCATAGAGTGAAGGAAAAGAGAAGAGAAGAAGAAGGGGAAGAAGAAGAGAAAAAGAATACATACCTGGTTACCGCCAGCCCGCCACCACTTGCCGCCCCTGCTCAGGTTACCGCCAGCCCGCCGCCACTCGCCGCCCCTGCTCACGGGTGGCCGGAAATGGAGAAGAAACTCATCGCTTATACCTCTAAATCGGAGAAGATGAGAGGGGAATGAAATTGATGTCTCACAAAAGGATTTAAGGATGATAAATGTAGAGGGTAGATGAGAGAGAAGAAGGGAGATTGTGGAAGAAAAGAAAAATTGATGCGAGAGGAAGATGGGAGAGGAGAGAGGAGATGTGGTGAGAAATGAAATCCTATAGCGGAGAGAGGCGTACGGTTGGAGATGAGCATAATTGGAAGATTAATTAAATTAGTCATATTTAGGGAATAAATTAGGGAGTACTCTTATTTAGGAACTTTCTCATTATTTTAGTCATAGTTAGGACAAATACTTTAAAATCAAGGCAATTGGAGACCAACTCCCTATTTGTATAGTATGCATAAGACAAAAATAAAAAATAAAAAAATGAAAAACACCCATTCTTCCAGCAAATCATGTAAGTTAACCGAGTTTACTGATATTATTAAGGGAAAATCGCATATATGGTCTCTCAGTTATCCACGAAATTAAAATCTCAAACCTGTATTTCTGAGATTGTAAATGTCACCCCTCAATTGTCCAGATTGTTGTAAATGTGGTCCTTTAAGTGGTGAAATGTACCCATAATATTTTGAAAGGAATTAGTTAATTCATCCAGAATACTGTCCAGATTGTCTCGGAGTATTTGATAATGAAACGAGAGAGCAAATCCACCCCATTACTCATAGTATTTTGAAAGGAATCATTATTAATGCCATGGCACATGGTAAGAGAAGAGTCGGGTTGGATGGCGAAAAAATGAACTTGGAGCGAGGTTGCCGATTATTTGCCCATTTGCTATTGAGGACGCCCGCCATGAACCCAGAGCTAACTTGCTGACAGAGTTTCTTCACCGATTTGGCCTAGTCGCTGCTCGAATTTGAACTTCCTTGATTGGAACCAAACCTAATTTAAATAACACTAAAACATACTACCTTCGTCCCGGTGAACTTTGCCAAATGCAAAGTAGGTGAGAAATAAGAATAATAAAAATTGTATGGTTAAGATTTGTGCAGAGGAGAGAGAAATGTGCAGAACCACAAATTAGTTGTTTTAATAGGAAAATGACAAAGTTTTTTGGGACAACCAAAAAAGGAAAATTGGCAAAGTCCAATGAGACGGAGGGAGTAAGAATTTTCCCAAAATAAGACTCCATATTTTATATTTATTTAAATAGGACCACACATTACATTTCATTGTTTGGGCTTATAGCCCGCCCCTGCTGCCCACACGGCCCCACCAAATGAGTGGACCGTCAAAATCTTATGGAGTCCTAAATTATTATTTTTGTCTAGCCCAACCACCGAAAAGCCCATGAATTGCACGGCCTCTCTAGACGCACCAATTATTTATCTTATATGGACAATAATGACCTCTTCCTTTATTTTTAATTAATTGACCGTAATCCGAGTAACATTGTTGTGCTATTATACTATTATAGCAAAGATATACTCCCTCCGTCGCATAAAATAAGTCTCATTTTCCTTTTTGGGCCGTCCCAAAAATTGTTCCCATTTCCCTTTTTGGAAAGTTTTGTGTGTCTAACATTCATTTACCTTTTTCTTACTCAACCACAACCATACATTTCCACTTTATTCCCACTTTCTTAAACTCCGATCCAAATTGAAATGAGATTTATTTTATGGGACGGAGGGAGTAGCAAAGAGGCGGCAATGACAATAATAATGTTGGATCGGAGTTGGAATACTTTTGTCCAACTTTTGATTTCTCAGATTTCGTTGTTATGCAATAATCAGGAAATACGTAGTAATTAGGATTATCAATGTTACTTACATTTAAAAAATACTATCTTACTTAATATAATTAGGATTATAAATCTAACTACCATCAACAATTACTATAAATACCATAACAAACCATTAGAGTCCGTTTGGTAAGATTGAAATTGGCTGAATCGATTGATTCTGCTGAAATTAGTGAAGTTCGGGTCGAAGTGGGTTGATTGGTTTCCTCTGCCAAATTCTGAACAAATTATACTTTAAATATATTTTATTAGTAAAATAATAAAGACAAAATTATATGAAAAAATTACTAAAATTATTTTCTACAATAATTTCAGTCAATTCATCCAGAAAGTAACTCCAACTTTACTTTTTCTTATTATTACACAACTCAGAACGCATAATCAAAAGTTTGTGTGTTAGTGAAAAAGTGGACTGACAATGCTCATAAACCGAAAAATATATTCACCAAAAGGGGCTCTTATTGTACATATTTGACTATTTGTGAAACACCGGAATATTCTTATAAATATTTTCCAATCACCCTTTTTATCAAAATTTATTTAGAAAAAAAATTTCCATTCACAATTTTTTTTATTCATCTAAGTTTTATTTGTAAATATTAATAACAAAGAGCCATATATCATTTTTTGATCATGTTTAAACTAGTACTACATATATTGTATGAATATTTTGACTTCGACTTGTTTCTAGTTGGACCAAAATTTTATTTTCTAATCTTTTTAAATTTGATTTGGTTTACGTAATTCGAGAGAAATACTCTTAAGGTAAACACCTCATAAAAAAGTTTTTTTTTCTAATCTTTTTAAATTTGATTTGATTTACGCAAAAGAAGAGAAATATTGTTAAGGTAGACACTAAACACCTAATAAAAAAAGTTTTTTTTCTTCAAAATCTTACATATGTAACATTGCTTGGTGTCATGAAAGATTATGACAAATTATTCAATTCAATATTCATAATGAACATAATTGAAATGTTATACCCCATAGCATATTACGTGGTATAAAAAAAGTAATTGGAGTTTGAAAATGTTTGCCACATTTTATGAAACTACTCCGTAATACCGTATTAGCTAGAGAGCCAATTTTGATAATAACAAAATACAGAGTAGTAAGTAGCAATTTTAATTTAAAACAAAAAAGAGGGCAAAACCCGAGACGGAGCAGCCTGACGGATCGGGCACCCCGTATACAATCATCGACATCAACGAACGGAAAGCCAACTCCCAAGTGCCAAGTCGCTGACTCGCCGACCACCCTATCTACGACGCTTGGCCGCCGTACAGCAGTCCTCACTCGGTCACTCCTCCCTTCATCAGCCTTTTGGTGCGCCCCGATCTGCCTACTGTGATTCAGAGCTTCGGCCAATCGGCCCTTCTCAGTTTTCACTTTCAGACTTCACGCTTCAAGTACTCGTCCGACCTCCTTATTCCTTAGCGGCTTAACTCTTTTAGTCTTTTATAGATTATGTGATTAGTTAATTATTTTTGTAACTCCTAGTTGTTCAATGTTTATAAATGAATCGTTGATAAATAATTAGTTGGCTGTTGAGTGTTGATATATGATTAGTTCATATTCTTAATTGTTGATTGTTGATGCTGCCTTTAGAATTTAGTTGATTAGTTCATAGTGTTTTTGAAATCGATTAGTTCATAACTTCATATTTGTTGATTTGTTAAATCTTAAGTGATTGGTGATTTTTCTGTTATGTAATTAAATTTGGATTTTGTGTTGGTATTATAATTTGCTAAAAGAAGTTTTTCAAAAATTATCTGCTGTTATTAATGTCTCAAGAAAGGCTTCATGGATTAACAATATTAAGCATTGAGCATAATGTGTTAGAAAAGCTTGAATATGAAGCTATCATAGATGATTTCGTTTTACAATGCTCGGCGAGAAATGTATTTAAGTGATATTTTGTTTTTTTGTTTCATTTTGAAACTGTGATTCTACTATGTTTAATTTAACATATTTAAGCCTTTTATTTATTATAAAGTATTGAAATATTATTACTATGCATGTTAGTTAGACATAAAAGGTTTTTAGATTTTTTTAGGATTAAGCCCATTATAAATTATATGCCACTAGACCTTCAAATCATTTACTCATTTTGTTTCATGAGCACATTTACTGGTTGGCATCATCATTCCAAAGCATTTTCATTTACTCCATATTTTATTGCATTCTATCGTCTTTATTCTCTCCCGCAGCAGCAGGCGCGGCCCTGGCCCTCTGCATGAGATGTGGGTGAACAGGGCTCCAGTTTGAAGAGGAGCCTCATTTTTTAACACCCTCAATACTAATTAGGGGGGATACGAAGTAATATATTTATTAAGCTTTGGTTTGCGACTCTCCGAAACATGAAATTGCTTCCTTTATTGATTCGCTTATCGCTTCAACTTTCGTTTATCTTGGCTTCTCTTCACTAGCTCATGGCGTGCAAGAGACTGTTCGCCTGAGAGTGTATGAGAAGTGCAGTCTCTGCTAGACTCCGAAAGGCGCAATCACTCCTCAGATCTGAGAGATTATGAACCAAGACTTCACTATTAGGTTACACCGTTACCGTAAGAATGGTTAGTCCTTTCTTGAATCTTAGATAATCTTATTATTCTAATATTGAATATTATATCAGATACGAATTTCTTGTCTTTTTATTATCCAATTAATCTGATTTCATAATTTATACTCCCTCAGTCCCATTTTGTAAGATATGTTTCCTATTCAGTATTCACTTGGTCAACACAAATCACTCTTAATCGCTGACTTTATATATATAAATTTTTTATCAAATTTGATTCTGGTTTTTGTGACTTTGTAAAACTTTTAATGTAGTTTCTGAATATGTAATTCTTTTTTTCTAAAAATAATTTGAGTGCGGACAGGGATCCGTTTGCTTTATCGTCGGTCAAACATCGTAAACCGTAAAGTTCCTTACAATTCGGGACGGAGGGAGTATTTGAAAATATGAATATATCATTTAGTTTTATAAAATTCAAAGTTTTGTTAGTTGTTGATTTGTTATATACGAGTTATTATTTTTTTATTTGTTAATCATTTACAAATAAACTAATGATCTACGTTAGAGTTTTAATTGAAACGATAGTCCCAATCGTAGTATTACAAATACTTGTATGCTGTTTATACTTTTACTGAATGTTGATAGTTGAAATCTTAGCTATAGGACTGTTAACTTAGAATATTGGACTATTGGTCTAGAGCATAGTTTTTAATTTCTTATATACTCTGTATGTTCTTTGTTTTGGGAATCAGATATACTGTATTCTGAAATTTGAGACATTGTTAGTTGTCCGATTTTTAAAAGAATTTAGAGAATTTTGTGTGTATTCCTAATGATATATTTGTTAAGAATCAAAATAAGTTTTTCATTGCATTTTATACTCAATGCGTGTTTAAGTTTAATATTCTCACCACTTGTGTTATGTAAGTTTATTAGTAGAAAATATATGGAGCATGCTAACATACTCACTACCAAGCACGTTGGTGTGATGAATGGACAGAATTCATTCATCTGAAATATTTAGAGAATTATGGCCATTCATCACGCTAAAGTGCTTACTACGGAGCACGTTGGCTCCATATATTTTCTCAATTTAATAGTAAACTTGTTTGCGTCCAATACTCGAATTTTCTTTATATTTTAGGGCCTCACATTTAGTTTTGAACAGGTCCTCCAATATCTCAGGGCTGGGTCTGTGCAGCATCTGAGAGTTTCTGCCTCCACACTCATTGATGGCATCTTCCTCACCCAACACAAGCTCATATGCTTTCTCACCCAAACTGATCCTCATTCAAATCCCAGTACTTCTTCGTCCTCTTCACACTGCAGTTTTATCATCCAAAGAGTTTGCTCTTTGGTTTACCAGTCTTATAACAATCAAGAACATAGTCACTTGAAATCATCACATCAAAAACTGAGATTGCCTATCGATATCGAAATATTGACTCCAGAACAATGCATTACTGTCGTGGCTTCTCTGGCTGATGAGGCAGGCTCAGTGGCTGCCTTGGGTTTCTTTTATTGTGCAATTGAATATCCAAAATTCCGGAGCTTTATGCGGCTTTACATAGTTTCATCAATGTGTTTGATGAGAAATGGGAATTTTGAGAGAGCCTATGAAATCATGCATTGCATGGTCAAGAATTTTGGTGAGATTGGGATGTTGGAGGAAGCTGTAGATATGGTTTTCGAAATGTGTAACCAAGGATTGGTTTTTACTGCGAGGACTTTAAACTGCATTATTAGTGTTGCTGCTGAAGTTGGGTGTATAGAGATTGCCGAGAATGTGTTTGAGGAAATGTGTGAAAGAGGCCTTTGTGCAGATTCTTTTTGTTTTAAGTCGATGGTAGTTGCTTACTGTAAACTAGGGAGAGCTGCGGATGCAGATAGATGGATGATTGCATTGCTCGATAGGGGTTTTATCGTGGACAATGCAACCTGTACATTAATTGTGAGCGTGCTTTGCCAAAAGGGATTTGTGAATAGGGCGTTTTGGATCTTCAATAGGTTAACTGTACTGGGCTTGACTCCAAACTTGATTAATTTTACTTGTTTGATAAATGGGCTGTCTAAGAAAGGCAGTGTTAGACAAGCATTTGAGTTGTTAGAGGAAATGGTTGCAAAAGGTTGGAAACCCAATGTGTTTACCCATACATCATTAATTGATGGCCTGTGTAAGAAGGGCTGGACTGAGAAGGCATTTAGGCTTTTCTTGAAACTAGTGAGGAGTGAGGCTTACAAGCCAAACGTGCATACATATACTGTGATGATCACTGGATATTGCAAGGAGGAAAAATTGAATCGCGCAGAGATGCTTCTTACTAGGATGCAGGAGCAAGGGTTGGCCCCGAATGCTCAAACCTATACTTCTCTCATTGATGGGTATTGCAAAGTAGGCAATTTCAGTCGTGCTTATGAGTTGATGGAAGTAATGAAGAACGATGGATTGTCACTTGGTATTACTACATACAATTCTGTCATTAATGGACTCATGAAGAAGGGAGAAGTTCAAGAAGCATATAAATTGCTGAAGAAAGCATTCAAAGCTGGACTCTCTGCAGACTTAGTGACATATACCATTCTCATATCAGACAGTTGTAAAGGCACTGACAGTAGGCTAGCCTTTGCATTTTGGTGTAAGATGATCAAACTTTGTATCAGCCTTGACATACATACATACACCACATTAATTGCAGTCCAATGCAGGCAAAAGATGATGAAAGAAAGCGAAAAGCTTTTTGATGATGCAGTTAGATTAGGTTTGGTTCCAACCAAGGAAACCTTCACATCATTGATATCCGGATACTGTAGAGATGAAAAAATCAGTTCAGCTATGAAGTTCTTTGATATCATGCGAGAATATGGTTGTGCACCTGATTGTGTTACTTATGGTGCTCTGATTAGTGGTCTATGCAAGGAGTCAATGTTGTATGAGGCCAGAAACCAGTATGATTCAATGATGGATAAAGGAATTACCCCCTGTGAAGTCACACGGTTAACAATAGTGTATGAGTTTTGCAAGAAGGAAGACCCTTCCACTGCAATGATCCTCTTAGATGGATTAGAAAAAAAATTATGGACTCGTACAATCAATACGTTGATCCGAAAGTTGTGCAGTGAAAAGAAAGCTGACATGGCTTCAATGTTTTTCCACAAATTGTTAAATAAACGCCAAACTGTCGATCAAATAACTCTTAAAGCCTTCATGACTGCATGTTATGATGGCCACAAGTATGATCTTCTCTCCCATGTAAACAAAAGGATTACAAAAGATCATCTTTGCTCTTCTGTTGTACAGTTTGAGGAGTCAAAATGCTAGAACCAGGCAAAGTTCAAGAGATATGCTACTTTTTTATATATATATGGAGCGGTTTCGGTAAGAACGGACTCCCAGGAGAGAAATAAGAACGAATCTGGATCGTTGGATTGTATTATGTGAAACGGAAATGTGCATTTGATGAAACTGAAATGTGTAGAATAAAAATTTAAACTCAATTGTGCATTGGGTGAAATTGAAATGTGCGGAATAAAATGTACAAAAATAACATCATATCGTACCTTTTATTCTGCACATTTCAGTTTCACCTAGTGCACATTTCAATTTCACCTAATGCACAACTCACCTTCACTTAATGACATTGTATCATACGCTTTGTGTTGCACATTTCAATTTCACTTAATGCACATTACAGTTTCATCTAATGCACATTGAATTTCACTTAAAGCAAATCTAACGGTTCAGATTCGTTCTCATTTCTCTCCTAAGATCATGTTCTTATATAGAAAAGATCAGGTGAGAAGTCCCTCTTAAAATGAGAAGTGAGAAGTAATCTCAGCCCTTGGATTTGCATCTAATCTTAAAACGCAGTAAACTTGTAGACTGAAATAAGAACTTATAACCAATAAATCATAACTTATAAAGCTTTCCATCATAATTACGAAAATGCCACTGTATCTAAAAATTTTCAAGGTTTCCAGGCTTATTTTTTTGCGGTGGCATTTTCGTAATTATTTTCGATGGTGTTTATAAGTTATGATTTATTGGTTAAAAGTTCGAGGTGAGAAATGCCCTTAGGCTGAGAACTGCGAAGTTTAACTAATAGACTAAACACACGAACTTTTAACCAATAAATCATAACTTATAGACCCCGTCGAAAATAATTACGAAAATGCCACCGCAAAAAATAAGCCTGGAAGCCTTTAAATTTTTTGGACGCGGTGGCATTTTCGTAATTATGATGGAGAACTTTATAAGTTATGATTTATTGGTTATAAGTTACTATATTCAGTCTATAAGTTCACTGCGTTGCAAGATCACATGCAAATCCAAGGGCTGAGATTATTTCTCACTTTCATTTTAAGGGGCACTTCTCACCCGATCTTTTCTCTCTCTCTCTATATATATATGTATATAGGGAATAAATCAGATGAGAAGCTTCCTTAGGCTGAAAAATGATAAGTAATAGAAGCCGAACGATTAGATCAAATCTCACGGCTCTCATCTGCTCCCACTTAATAATTAAATGATTTCTTATACATAGTTTCATTTATTCCTTTTATCACGACTTTCTCTCTCCGTATTCGATTCTCTTCTCATCTATCTCTCTGCTTCAGTATAATTTTTCTCTCCGATCAACTACAAAAGACGAAATCATTGGCCAATCGCTTGAAAATTCTTCTTTCGTATTTCTTCGTAGATCCAAGTTGGAGGAGTTCGCACCTGAGCATGCTCTGTTTGTGTAAACCTAGATTATATTTTCGTTTCCTCTAAGCTTGATGGAGATTGATGAAGTTTCAACGATGATTTCAGAAATTTAAAAGGTGAATTTTGGTTTACCGTTTCTTATTACACAATTTTTAAGACAAATTCTACTTGGTGTCTATGAAATTGTTCTAACTTTTGGTTGATTGACCTTCAATTTCTTAGTTTAGGCCTATTAATGTATTTGTTTCTAATTTATTCAATATTAGGGTTAGTTTTGTATCTAATTAACGTTTAATAACTAAAAGTAAGATATATTCAAGCGTTTTCCCTCAAAAATAGGAATTCTATTCTAGTTATGTGTTTTTCCTTAAAACCAGCTTTTAATTTTTATTTGTCCATAGTTGGATAAACATTTATTCAACTCGAGTCTATATCATGTGAATTTTAACTTGAAAACGCTTCCTTAATCATGTGAGTTTCACATCTCAGACTTGCTTTCGTGAGTGTAGACATCATTCAGATGAACCACTGCAATGGATTTTCTCTGTATGAACTTAAGTCGTGATTTTGCTCTGATTATTGCTTAGTTGTAGTTTTTTTAGAAGAGATTTTTGCTTAGTTATGAATTTCAGACTAATAGTTATAGATTTAGATTTAAAAGTTAATCATAATTATTTAGAAGTGAGGATAAAAAGAAGCATCATGACTTCTTAATGACTATTCGGAAACATTTTAGTTTAGCAAAGTGAAATTATATCATATACCATTGAGATATCATAACACATGGGTTTAAATCAAACTCATGTTTTTACGAATGACTTTTTATGTAAGATAATCTGAATATAGGATAGGCTATAATTGAAGAAGGTCTTTTGAAGTTAGAATTAAATGTTATGAATTTCTTGTTAAAAGTTACGATTCAAGCTCTATTAGTGTGGATCTAAAGCTAAAAAAGCTACTTTACTTTTTCCGATGATATAGCAGAATAAACATTAAGAGATCAACATGCTTCTATTGATCTCAAATATAAGTTGTGGCTTTCGTTGGTGTTGTCTCTAGTAGTTGTTGGTAAAGCGTTTTGAAGCACCATGTACTGTAAAACAATGTTTAACTGTATAACAATTGTGAGTTTTGATGGCTGATGTAGATGCCAAGGGTGCTAAATTCTGTTCTCCTTTATATGATAGAACTTGTCACATTTGTAAGTTTTTTATAAATTTTACTTTGTGAAAATGTTATGAATTTTCATTTAGTTGTTATACATTTCGAAATAAAAGTTACAAAGTATTGTGTATGTTTTTTTATAAATTGCTAATTATTATTGTAGAAAGACTATATTTCGTATTAAAACACAAAATGTCTTACTCACTTTCATATTTTGAGTAAAGTTACAATTTAGCCTTTATAAGTTAGTATTGTAGCTCTATTAGTACCTGTTTAGTGTTTTTATGACATTCCAATTTAATAACACTTTTATTACTATGCTGTTAATCTTATTTCTATTTTTTGATGTGCCATTGTATGTTTCTATTTTGGGACTCACGAAAAACTTATAGTTGGACCACATCTTTACTATTCTTCTCTTTATGTTAGTCTTCTTGTTCTAAGAGTTGGGTAATGTAAATTTAATTGGAAAAAATGAGCTTCATATGAGTGACTCTGTATGGTGATAAATCTACATTAAATATGACTCTCTTATTGTGTTATGTTCGCCTAAACGAATAAATTATAATCCAAAACTCATAATTCAGAGCAATAAACGTCCAGAGTTATGAAATTTGCCTTATTAGTTACATATTTTTATATATTTGTTAAGGTTGTTTGACTAGTCTTGAATGTGGGTTATAGAAAGTGTGAATATTTTTATTTGTTTACAAAATGTACAAAATTTAAAGTTATGCTTTTAGTTTTAAAAGTTATAAATTTTCACCTGGTAGTGATGTTTTTTAGTTTAGAAGTTACATAGTTTTACAGCTTTACAATTTTTTGTTTATTAAGGATCAATAATAGTTATTGTTATCATTGTAGTTGTTTTTGTTGTTCTTGTTGTAGGGAATCTCTATTCTGTATTCAAATATGTTTCCTATTGATTTTGATGTATGCAACTTATGTGAGTTTAAAGTTATGTAGATAGTTATAGAAGTTGTGGTTTTGGTTCTATTAGTTATAAACATTTGTGTTTTTATCTTCATAGTAACAGATCGATGCCAGTGCAACTTGGAATGAAGTCATTTTGGATGTTGGTCTTGAACTGGGGTATAAAAGTCAACTACAAAATCCACAAATAAGATATGGACATACAAAACACAGTTGAAGAAAAGAAGGAAAGGAGAAAGGGCAAAAAATAAAGAGGTCGTGGTGTTAGAAAGCAGAAAGTTTATTAATCAATTACATGTTTTTTGTTCCAAATTTGAATGTAATGTATTGAAAGTTTTCAAGATATAGTTTTGATGGGATATTAAGACCCGGCCCAATACGGCGGCCTAAAATATCCCTGAAGCCCAGGCGCAAGGAAAGGCCGAGGGAGAATCACCAGGCCCCGTTCAGCACATCCCGAATGGGATATAATTACTACTTGGGTAATTAGCTTATTCCTGATTGATGGCTTAGCCGAACTTAATCCCGAACGAACATTGCACGAGTAACTGACAACAGTTAATGTTGGATCATGGGGGCGTCAAGTGGCATGTGAGGCAACCAATCATATTAGAGCACCCCATACTCCCATCTAGTATAAATAGCAGCATTTAATTCATCGTAAGAGTTATATTTTGTTTACTCTCAAGCTTATATTGTATTCTAGCTCTTGTATTAGCCTCTAGACCGTAACTACCGTTCGACCATTTCCCTGTAATCACTATTACTGTGTTAATAAAAGCAAGACTATTTGACCAAGTCTATCAGTTTTTATATTTCTTTTATATACATTACTGTAGCAATTTTACCCTAGATCCAAGGTTGGTGTTGGCCTTCGGGTCATTCGGTACTTAACCTCAACATTGGCGCCGTCTGTGGGAAACGTTTACTAAAAGTTTCCACAGCAAAACACTGATTTAAGCAAAAACTACCTACAAAATGGTCAGAATCACTTCTCATCATACTGGTGGAAGCTCGGGGAGACGCGAGGACATCAAGACCACCCAGGGACGCTCCAACGAGGCGTCCTACCAACAATTCGACGGAGACTTCTTTATCCCCGAAGCACTCAGAAGAAATCCCCATGCATGCGCGACCTAGCGATGGTGATGCAGCAGATGGCGTACGCACATGATGGGGGGCAATCCAGTTACACAGTAGAAACCACATTTGATGATAACACTGCTGATACAGAAATGACCTCAGTCCATGCGCGGGCTCATCTGGGAGATCACCGGAGGGCTCACGAGACTAGGGACAGGCAGCACACTCATAGTGACCACACCCCGGTCGGCTCCCAAGCGAGAGGAGCCACGCCAGTTGGCCCCATTTCCAGTACAAAGAACATGATGGTACCCAGATCTTACGAAGACGTCAGAACCGGAATGTACCCCCACCAGAGAGAACCCCAGAGTTGGTGGATCTGGGAACTCCACCATCACCTCCCCGTACGGCTCATGAAGAGGAAATGAACGAAATGAGGAGACAAATGACTGAGTTGAGAGAGCAAGTGAACAGAACACCCTTGCAACCCACCCCGAAACGGGTCTGGATCATTTCCCCCTTCACCAGATCGATCATGAATGCAGAAATCCAGATGAATGCCAGACCACAGACCGGTCAGACGTATGATGGGGTGGGAGATCCCCATGTACATTTGAGAAGTTATCAAGGAGGGCTCATGCTGTTGGGAGCGACAGATGCAGCCATTTGCAGGCTATTTTTAGCACGCTTAGGGGACACGCCCAGGAGTGGTTCGGGACCCTGCAGCCTGGGTCGATCGGTAGTTTCGCCGAATTGTCATCTTTGTTCTTGGCACAATTTGCTTCCAGTGCCACCCCTAAACGACACTTCAGCTATCTAACCAGTGTCAAGCAGGGGCCAAGAGAATCCATCAATTAGTTTTTGGAAAGATGGGGAGACGAAACTCTGAAGGTCGGAAGCATGACGGGGGACACAACAATCACCCTCTTCACTGATGCCCTACAGGTTGGGGAACTTTACAGGGACCTGAAGAAAAACCCAGAGACCACATATACCAAAGTGCTGGCTAGGGCCTGGAAGCATGCCACCCTTGAGGAAGAGATTATGATTAGGGATAAGGTGGCTACACCTTCTGCACCAGCAAAATTGGCCGACCGGCTGGGTCCTGTTCCAGCGGCCGGACCCCCTACGAAGACAAAACGCTTTACACCGCTCGTCCTTTCCCTTGCATCCGTCTTTCACCATGAGAAGAACTTCATCCCTCCCCTATATGGCTTATTGCATCCGTCAGTCCGTCACTAAAACATACTTGGGACAATAGTGATAAATAATGGAATGGTAGTAACTGACGTTATTCAATATAATTGGTGTTTGGGTAGTCACTAAGTTATTTTCTCTTTGTTGTTTTGTTGGTGATTATACTGACTTTATGTGTTGCTTGTTAATCTGATAGTAATTGTTGCGGTGACTGATAATGCAAAATCGCTAATTGAAAAATAATGTGTGATTAAGACAAACAGATCGACTAAGAAAAAGTCACCGAAACATCACTAAGAAAAAAAAATGAGGCAGGAACATTCAAGATAAATGACTATTAAAAAACATCGGGAATCCCTGAGGAACGAATTCATATTTGGAGTTTGGATAAGTGGATAAGACATACTCCGGAGTATTCCAGTGCCTATACGTATACGGTGAGCACCGTATACCGGTATATGGATTTATATTGTTTTTCCTTTTGTTTTTAAAAAATGGTAATAACTTTTTTATTTTTGATCCGATTTTTATAAAATTTATATCAACATTTTTTATTTTTCATGATCTTTCAAATTAGACCAATATTACCTATGTAATTTTAACATATTAACATTTGCGTGTAAAATATGTAACTTTACGTATTAAAATATGTAACTCACATTCAGTCAGGCCAAATGCAACTCGTGTGTATAAATATGTATCTCTACGTGTAACAATATGTAACTTTACGTAAAAAAATATGTAACTCGCGTTCAGACAAGTCAAATGCAACTCGTGTGTATAAATATGTAACTCGCGTGTATAAATATGTAACTTTACGTGTAAAAATATGTAACTTTACGTGTAAATATATGTAAGTCGCGTTCAGGCATGTCAAATGCAACTCGTGTTTATATATATGTAACTCGCTTTTAAAAAGATGTAACCTGCTTATAAAAAGATGTAACTTGCTTATAAAAAGATGTAACTTGCTTATAAAAAGATGTAACTCGTTCATAAAAAGATGTAACTCAATGTATTATCAAATGTAACTGAGGCCACTGATCCATCCCAAACAGATTCAATATTCTATTTCACAAACCTATCATCTCCCAAACAGATTCGATTTTCCTTATAATCCAATACTCATTAATATAATAGTTCGATAATTTCTTAACATTATGATGGAGTAATGAGACTAGGCCCAGAGCCTAATCAGCCCAAGCCCCGAATTTGGACCCGTGGATCCAAGTCCACAACCTGGCGCCTGCCTGTCTGCCCAGCGGGGAGCCCACCAGTCCGGCCGACCTCCCAACTCGAAAGAGTAACGGTCAAGCAATTAATGCACTGTTAATTATGTATTTAATTCCGTATTAATGTTGTAATTAATTAGTCATTATTATCGGTAGCAGTTACGATTTGTATACGCCTATAAAAGGCGGGCTGTAATTCAGATTAGAGGAAGCGAATTCTATATGCAATTTCTGGCAACTAAATACTTTTAGCTTCTTTCCTTATTTGCATTATTTTCCTAATTTCCTGCTTGAGTGTCGTACGTAGCTTTCCTAAAAGCCTACGAGCGTCCTATTTTGGACCAACATTGGTGCTTTCATTGAGAGGCTGTATTGTCTCTCACATCACTCTAGTAGGAAATTTCAAAAAAATGGGTGAAGACCGAAAGTTTCTAGCAGTTTTTCAGGTCTGTTACTCACAATCTTGAAAAATCTAGCAAAAACTGTTCTTAGTAACAGACCTGAAAAACTGCTAGAAACTTTCGGTCTTCACCCATTTTTTTTTTGAAATTTCCTACTAGAGTGATGTGAGAGACAATACAGCCTCTCAATGAAAGCACCAATGTTGATCCAAAGTAGGACGCTCGTAGGCTTTTAGGAAAGTTACGTACGACACTCAAGCAGGAAATCAGGAAAATAATGCAAATAAGGAAAGAAGCTAAAAGTATTTAGTTGCCAGAAATAGCATATAGAATTCACTTCCTCTAATCTGAATTACAGCCCGCCTTTTATAGGCGTATACAAATCGTAACTGCTTCCGATAATAATGACTAATTAATTACAACATTAATACGGAATTAAATACATAATTAACAGTCATCAATTGCTTGACCGTTACTCTTTCGAGTTGGGAGGTCGGCCGGACTGGTGGGCTCCCCGCTGGGCAGGCAGGCAGGCGCCATGTTGTGGACTTGGATCCACGGGTCCAAATTCGGGGCTTGGGCTGATTAGGCTCTGGGCCTAGTCTCATTACTCCATCATGAGTCCCTCACTCCCTTAGTCGGGTAGTAGACTCGGCTAAGAGGGAGTAGTCCAAGTCAGTTGCTGTTCTCTGAGACTAGAAGATCTCCGCCCTTGTCCATGTTGGGGAGATGCCTCATTAAAAACCTTCATTAGGAAAAAACCCAATGGGAAAAAATCCTAATGAAGGGAAAAAGAGTACATCTGACGCCCCCAAGATGAAGCAAAAGATGAGATCCTCAGCCTTTATTGCAGTGGTCACCATCTGCGAATAGGATGGCTAGAACTGTTCTTCTCATCGGGCACAGACTCGTCAGGTTCGTCATTTGCTTCCTTGAAGATGGCAAGACCGTCAGTCCCCCACTTCATTGAGTTGTACCTACACATAAAAGAAACTAGTGTAGAATAGGACATCTGGCCTGATGTGGAACCACGACTTAGTGTGTAAGTGAGTCGGAATCACTACTTCAAAAAGAGTGACATCAAGTTCCCAAGTTAGGCCTCAACCCAGTCTCCGAAAGAAAGATTGAATCCGCGAGTAAGTGAATCGGACTCCTCACTCGAATGGATAATCTAACCCCAAAGAACTAAAGTATATCAACCTTTTCGGGAAATGTGAATGTCAATTAAGTGACAAAATTGCTTGGAAGAGCGTGGCTCTAGGCCCCTAACAAGAGTTTAACTCGCCGCCCGAGGTTAGTAGTTCGAACCCGCAAGTAAAGACTTTTGAACGGGTGACTCGTCCCTCGAGGTCGGAGTGTGATGCACTATGAAGGGGTAAGAGCACGCGAGAACTCGTATGAAGTTAAGAGTGTGCGGTATTAACATTTAGATTGGAGCTTATTAATCATCACACCCATATGACGTGACCCGGTGGCGTGAGTGTGTGTGCTCGGCCATTGTACGAGTGTGTGTGCTCGTCCGGCGTACTTGAGTGATCAGATGTCATAAGTCCGTTCCTCAATGTTAAAATTACACACATTTAACAAGAGTAAAAGCAATCATATCACTTAAAATATCTTTTCAAATGTTTCGAATTATGATTTTGACATATTATAAAAATTGAGAAGAGAGCACTTAGCTTTGTGTTCTCGGTTCAATTCGGGAGAGATGGCATACGTAGTTAGCTTTGGACCTACTGGAGGATGGCCCAAGTTGACTGGGTCAACAAAGACTGGCCCCACCCACTGTTTGGCAGAAAGAAGATGGAACCCTCCCAAAGCTTCACCTCACTGTTAGGCCACCCGCCACTGCTAGTATGCGGAACAAGAAACGAGATTTGGC